CGTATCCCCCCCACCTGGGTCCCTGTGGCTGACTGTACCTCTGTCTGGCTTCCTGGCTTTTAATCCCCTTTCTCCTGCTCTTCTGGCCTGCTGTTTTGTGCGTCCCTGAGTTGTCCCTGGGGCTGACTGCTCCTCTGTCCAGGTTCCTGGCTTTTTATCCCCTTTCTCCTGCTCTTCTGCCCTGCTACTCTGGGCGGGCCTGAGTTGCCTCTCCTCACCTAATCCCTCGGCTGACTGCTCTTCTCTCTGGTTTCCTGGCTTTTAATCCCCTTTCTCCTGCTCTTCCCACTTGCTACTTCGGGCGTCCCTGAGTTGTCTCTCCTCACCTGTAACCCTGGGGCTGAGTTTCTTTCCTAGAGAGGTTTATTTTAGAACTTAAACCAGTTGCCATTTTGTTGGTTCTGACTCATGGCAACCCCACATCTGTCAGAACAGAGCTGTGTTCTTTTGGGTTCTCTATGGCTAATTTTCCAAGGCACCTCTGGATGAACTTGACCATCTAACTTTTTGGTTAGCAGCTGAGTGTGTTAACCATTTGCAACACCGAGGGACTCCTTTAGACATTGGGAAATACCTTAAGCCTCAATTGACTCTAGGACAAAAAAAAAAAAACAAAAACAAATGAGGTTTCTAATAGAGCACTAACTCTCTTTTCTTCCTCAACCTCATGATTCCTCTTACTGTAAATACAAGAAACCAGTAGTCCTCTTCTTCCAGGAATTCATCATACCAGGGACTGAGCATCTGAAACCAAACATAATATAAGCATTAGGAGGTAGGTGCTCAGCCTGCTGCCTTTCTCTTCTGTGCTCACCTGGGAGTAATGTCATCTGGAGCATTTGGACTCTAATTTGGAGACACATTGGAAGAACATCAGTCTTTATTTATTTATTTATATTGTACTTTGGGTGCAAATTTTCAAAGCAAATTTGATTTGCATTCAACAGTTCATGTACATTTGATTTCACGCCCCATTTACCAAATTCAACCATAAAAAACTCTCGTTCCTTCCCCTCCCTGTGACTACCCCTTCCCCGTGCCCTTCTTAACTATGTGCTCCTGTCTGTCTAGCTTTCCCTTTATGCGAAAGCTGACCCTCTGGTGTCTCATGGCTGATTGCTCTAAGGGGTGTATCTCCCTAGCGTAGGTGGGTGCATCAACTTGGGGTAGGTTCTGCATGTAGGTCTTTCTACTGTTGTGCTGAGAGCCAATCCATGGAAGTGAGTCCATTTCTAGGCCAGAAGGGTAACCCAGGGTCATAGTCTTGGGGGTTCTACCAGTCTCTATCTGACCAGTAATTCTGGTCATTTTTGACCACTCTACCCAGGATCTCCAGTTTTGATACCTTTCCGAGGGGTTGGCATTGGTAGCTGGGCACCATCTAGATCTTCTGGCTCAGGGTGGTGAAGGCTGAGGTCCTCATGGTACATCTTATCCTTGGACTAATTGTTTCTAGATGCCTTTGATTTTCTTCACTCTTCTTTGCTCCAGATGAGAGGAGACCAACAGTTGCATCTTAGATGGCTGCTTGAAAGCTTTTAAGACCCTAGTCACTACTCACCAAAGTAGGTTGTAGAACAAGATTTTTATGTGGTATGTTGTGCCAATTGAGCATGATGTCCTCTAAGACTATGGTCCCAAGCCCAAAGGCCTGGTCATTTTCTCTCTCAAGGTGCTTGCTTGTCTTTGGGAAGTTTCTTCAACTCTGTCTTCTATTGCTTCTGTAGTGTATGTGGCTACTTTTGTGGCACAAGTGCATAAGTAAGATCATCTCAGCCAAACCTATCCTTGGTCCAGGGTAAATTCCTATTCATCTACTCCCACTTGATCTTCTCAGCTGTCTATGTATTTATCTGCAGCCTGGAGTTTGGTGCTAGTGGTAATGTAGTATTGTGCATGTGATAGTATTTGCCTCTGGTGTCCATATCTTATGTGCACATTTCAGTGTCCTTCCTTTCTCCAATGTCATCATGCTCGTCATAGACTCTTTCCATATCATCCCTTTCCTCACCCAAATCAACATGTGACATCCATCTAGTCCAAAATGTCCCCTCCTCTTCCATGCCAACCTGGTAACCAACAAAGTGAATTTCCTTCCCTGAGTAAAACTTTCCTTGACTTTTTACAGTAATGGGCTCAAACAATATTTGTCCTTCTGTGTTTGACTTATTTCACTCAGTATAACGTCCTCCAAATTCATCCATGTTGTGAGATGATTCATGTATTCTTCATTATTCTTTAATGTTGCATAGTATTAGGTTGTGTGAATGTACCATAGTTTGGTTATCCATTTATCTGTTGATGGGCATTTAGGTTGTTTCCATCTCTTTGCTATAGTGAATTGTGCTGTGATGAACATGGGTGTTCGTGTCATCTCTCACCTTTTTAGGATATATTCCTGGTAATGGAATTGCTGGAGCAAATATTATTTCTATTTTCAGTTTTTCAAGGAAACACCATACTGTTTTCCACAATGGTTGTGCATTTTGAAGTTCCACCAGCAGTGTATGAGGGTTCCAATCTCTCTGCACCTTGCCAGCATTTGCTATTTTCTGTCTTGTTGAACTTTGCTTTTGTTGCTGGGGTGAGGTGATATCTCATTGTTGTTTTGATTTGCATCTCTCTAATGGTTAATGATCCTAAGCATTTCCTCATTTGTTTGTTGGCTGCTGGTACATCTTCTTTTTTAAATTTTTATTTATTTATTTATTTATTTTATTGTGCTTTGGGTGAAAATTTACAAAGCAGAATTTGTTTTACATTTTCTTTAGTGTGTGTTCATGTCCCTTGCCCGTTTTTGAATTGGATTGTTCATCTTTTTGGTGTTGAGGTGTTGACATTTTCCATAAATTTGGAGATAAGTCCCTTGCCAGTTATGTCATAGACAAATATTTTTTTCCTAACCTGTAGGTTTTCTTTTTACCCTTTTGGAGAAGTCTTTTGAAGAACATCAGTCTTGATCGATCAATCTAGAGACACTCCTTAACTTCTCTGAAATGGCATCTCATACAAGAACCCCTCCCTCCTGCCGCAGTCCCAGAAAATAGTAATCAATATTTACTTAAGAAGATGTATAATAGATTCATTTACTCAAGGAGAGTTACTTGACATCTTGACATTAGTGCTTTGTTCTTTCCCAAATCACAATCTCATTTGATGCTCAGGATTTCTCTTCGAGGCAAATTTTTCTCTTCAATAGGTCTTCTCTTGTACCTCTCACGTGTTGAAGACCTTACCTATTTGTGAACAATTTTTGTTACACTAAAACAAACAAACTGTCCATCAGTGCCTGAGCTAGCTTAATCTGCATTCTTACTTTCATTTATTTGACAAATATTTCCCGGGCGCCTAGGAACTCTGGTAGTGCAGTGGTTAATGCATTCAGCTGCTAAACAAAAGGTCAGTGGTTTGAACTCACCAGCCATTCTGCAGGAGAAAGATGAGGCAGTCTGCTTCTATAAATATTTACGGCCTTGGAAGCCCTATGGGGCAGTTCTACTCTGTTCTATATGGTTACTATGAGTCGAAATCAACTCAATGGCAATGGGTTTTGGGTTTTCTATATTCCACACACTGTGAAAATTGCTGGGAATGTAGAGATCAATATATCATATACTTTGTTCTGAAGGAGCTCATCTTCAAGCATGATGAACTTCAATGTGACACGTACTATAACAGAGCATGAAAAAGTTGTCTAGGAGAGAAAGGTGTGTGTGTGGGGTAAAATTCATTATTTCTGCTTGAATCAGGAAGAATTCATAAAGGCAAGGAGATTAGAACTAGAATTTGGGCCTTGAAGGATAAGCAGAGAATGAATGAACAGAAGGATGAAAATCAAAAGACCCAGAGTCATCCATCTCAAACCAGACAAGGTAATTCTGAGACAAGATCAAAAGAAGGATCATTTCCAACTGGGATTGATTTATTGATTCATTCAGTCAATAAGTGTCTATTGAGCCAGCTAGTGTTCTAGACACTGGGGAGATAGTAGTAATAAAACAGACAAAAATTCCTCTCCTGCTAGGGAGAAAGAAAATAAACATCATAAATAAGTTTTTAAAAATGTGCATATGTATATGTATAGATAGATAGATGAAGATGTATACATATTTATAAATATATATTATGTACATATATGAAATACAATACAAATATATGTATATATAATAGATGTATATTATATATACAGAAGCATGTCTGTACTTTGCATGGATTATACATGACATAGACAGATAAAATGTTAAGGAAAGAAAAAATGGAAACAGAGTTGAAATTTTATATCAAGACCAAATAAGGCCTAACAGAGATGGAGAGACTAAGTTGTGTAGGTACCTATTACATGCAGCAGGAGCAGCGCAGCTGAGCCAGCTGTGTGCCTGGCAGAGTGCAGTGGAGTGCACAAAGAGGAGAAAAATGGGGAAGGGAGCACAGATCACGTGAGGCCTAGTCACTGTTACTCTGGAATGAGACAGAAAGCCATCTGCTTTCAAGCCTCACTCACTTTTACTTATTTCCAGTTAAACTATATGAATTACATTTTGATAACTCACTGCCATCAAGTCGGAGCCAACTCATCCTAGTGTGGAAATAAGCCTGTTTGGGGCAAGGCAGATACAGGGACATCAGTTAGGAGTTTACTGCAGTAATACAAGCCAAAGAGGATGAGGCTGACATTAGAGTGGGTGTGAAAAGGGAGGTGAGAAATGAGAAGTGATTATAGAATTATATGGATGTGAAACAAAGATATGAGATAAGGTTGGTGGCAAGATTTTCAGTCAGAGAAATTCTGATAGGCCAATCTTAACCATATACAAATACCTCTAATATCTTTGCAAAGATAGGCAGAGGGCCTTGCTGAGGGGATATTCTAATCCAAGAAGCACACTAGTCTGAGCCCCTAAGCCCCAAATGAACCAACAAACTTTAAGGGGGCCTCTGGATTTTCCTTAATCAAAAGCTGCGTAGAGGAAAGCCTTGGCTATGGATCTAATGGACTGGTCCAGTGTGACACTACCAAGATGTGTGACCATGGATAATTATGTTTTATTGGACATCATGCTGGATTTAGAGCTCAAATCTCCTAGGTGTTGACTGTGGTTCCCCCACTTGCCAGCTGTGTGTCTTTGGCTAATTAACTTAGCCTCTCTTTGTCTCACATTCCTTGTCTATACAATAAGATTACCCTGCTTGCCCCACAGAAGTGCTAAGAGGCATAAAGGAGACAATATGTGATGTGCTTTATAAGGTAAATACATTATAATGCACTAAGAAATTTGCTCATTAGGTTCCATTGGCCTTTCCAGATCTTCTCTACCCTGCCTTGTAAGATTAACCTATATGGACCACACTAATGGATACCCTTGTCCATGGGTTGGAGTCATCCAATGAAGAGTCTTGGAAAAAGATGGAAAAGCAGCAGGAGTGAAGCTAGGATATCTACTCCCTCTGCTTCCTCCTTTGAAATCACAATGGATTGGCTGCATCTTTCTACTGATTATTAAAGCTTCTATAAGATCTCTTTAGGAGCTCTGGTAGCATAGTGCCTAAGGCACTTGACTGCTAACCAAGAGGCTGGCAGTTCAAACCAACAAGCCACTCCTTGGAAGGAAGGTTGGGCAATCTACTTCCGTAGTGATACTGCCTCAGCAACCCAAGGAGGGGTCACTGTGAGTCAGGGCCGACTCAAAGGCACATAACAACAACAAGATCTCTTTACTTGTTATAATTCTTACTCATGTAAGAACTGTCTCATAGTTCTTTCTCTCCTGTTTCTGGTAGCTGGTCCCTCTCCTCAGCTCTTCAGGCCTGGAAGCGATAAAGGGATATGTAGTCCCTTTTATTCACCCTCTACCTGTTACTCAACTTAATTCTTCTATGGATTTTCTGCCAAAATCTTGACAAACCAATTCAATGCATCCATCCATCCATCTATCCATTGCCATTAAGTGGATTATGACACATATTGACTCTATAGGACAGAATAGAACCACTCCATAGGATGCTCAAGAGCATCATCCATGAACAAAGCAAAAGGTCATTAAAAATACGAAAAAGAAAAGACCAAAATGGATGTCAGAAGAGACTCTGAAACTTGCCCTTGAGTGAAGAGTAGCTAAAGCAAATAGAAGAAATGACAAGATAAAAGGGCTGAACAGAAGATGTCAAAGAGCAGCTCAAGCAGATAAAGCCAATTACTATAATGAAATGTGCAAAGACTTGGAGTTAGAAAATCAAAAGGGAAGAACACACTTGGCATTTCTCAAGCTGAAAGAACTGAGGAAAAAATTTA